TGGCCCGGGTAGGAGCGGCCCCCCCCCGGCCTGGGCACCCCGACCGGAGCCGTCCCCCGCAGGGAGCCCTCGCCTGGGTGCGCACATCTGCCTCCAGCTGTGCCCTGCTCCGCCCCCGGAGCTGTTCCCTTAGCGCTGGAAAGGCCTGTGCAAAGCCTTGTCGTCCGTCCGTGTCCCCCGGCCCCCCCCATCGCTATAGGGGTCTTTAGCTGTGTTGCAAAAGGCTGAGGTCTGGGCATCCAGGAGCTGCAGAGGTGTTGGGAGACCCTTGCTGTGTTGGGAGACTGTTACTGTGTGGCACGTCACTGCTGTCTGGACAAGTGTCCTGCTGCTAAGCGAGTGCCAGGGTGAATTTGGGTATGGATGGGGGGAGAGAGCTTGGAGAAGGTGAGAATTGAAGGGAAGATAGTCAGAAACACCCAAACACTGGATTCCTCCTGGATAGTCAGGGTGGGAAACGGATTGCCGGGAGAAGAACTGTAGCCAAAGGCTCTTTTAGGGAGAGGAGATACTAGTATTGACTGAGGTCAGAGTAGCCACTTGGGGTTTTTTAACTGTTTACTTATTTCTGAGACTCTCAAGATTTATGTGCTCCACTGTCCCTAGGGATTGCTATCCTCGCATGTAAACACTTTCCCCCACACATACACCCTCCTCTTTCCTTCACTTCGCTTATCTTTTGCCTGCATTTCCATAAAGATGGAGGAAAACAAATGTTCTGCTGCCAAGAGCCTTACTCAAAACAGTCCTGGAGCTTTGAGATCAGGAGAGTTACCTGACCTTTCAGCCAGTATACCATTTGCATGTTTAAGGGGTTTGGCTATTTTTGCGTCTCGGAGTGGGCACCTTCTGATTGTAGTCATGTCCTGCAGCTCCCCTTAGTTCCGCTTCTCTGGCTGACCCTACATAAAGTCACTGGGTGGTGCAGGAGACCCTGATTCCCTGTCTCTAGCTCCCCTTCTGTACTTCCATTTCACATTCCACTGAGGGCTCAAAATGGCTGCAGACAGAAAATCCACACAGAGTTGTTGCCAGCTGTGGGGTGAGATCCAGGTGGAGAGAGTTCTCAGGTGTGGATGCATACTGCGCATAGTATTTCCAAAAAGTAGGGCTTTTTTCATTAGGACAGGTAATAGATACCTACTTTCCACTGTCACAGCTTTTACTGTGCTACAGCTTCCATTTTAACTGTCATGAAAGAAGGAGCTACGTTGAAAATCTTTCAGTGCTGTTGATAAAAAATCCATTGGGCTGGAAAGCAATGAGCATCCGTCCTCATGCACCGTTGTTTGGGCTCTGACTGAGGAGGAGCTTGCTATACTTACACCAGTCAGCGGCTGTGCTGCCTGACACGTTGCTCTGACTTGGCCTGTCTGTCGCGCTGAAGGAGTTTGCTACACAGCTGCAAAGAGGGGCTGGGTAAGAAGAATGTCCCCAGGTTGTTTTCACACCAGCTGGAGGCTCCTTCCGTCAAACCTACCTCTGTCAGGAACATAGAGGCAGAAGAGAGATAAATAGGCTCCTGGGAGATTCGGGATGGAGATTCTCATCATCTTGTTCATGTCTGCTCAGCATGATTGAAGCTGCAGCCTGTATATCGATCTATGCACTAAATGAAGTCATTGTGCGTCCCCTGGACTGATGCCCTGAGCCTGGGTTTCGTTCTACTGTCTGCCTTCAGTCTCATCTGTGGTGGTGCCTTGCACTCTTAGTTGAATAGTTTCGTGTCAAAGGAAAGTTGGGGGGGGAGTACATTTCTTGTCTGCCTTGGTAAGATTTCTGGCAACAACTGAAGAGGGAACAAGTGTTTGTCAGTGAACTTCGCAGGCAGTGCAGCGATACCAGTCTAGATCTGTCCCACTCACAAGGCACGTGTTGTTTTGAAGTACTGGTGAATGCTTTGTATTTTGTACGTCTCTTTTTCCTCTGAACAGATGCTACAGCTGCCACAGCCTCAGTCCCTCCAGCAGAGGTTGGTGCTTCTCAGGAGGCTGATCAGGTGTTTGAGCCGGCGGATCGCTTGCCCTCCCGGAGTGAGGCAGCCGCTGTGCAGCCCGTCATTGGGATCAGTCAGAGAGTGCAGATGAACTCCAAAGAAAAGAAGGACTTAGGGACACTAGGTACAAACCCAGGATCGTGTGATGGATCCGTTCCTGTAATTCTGACAGGATGGATTTGTTCTGAGGCTCTGAAAGCAGTGCTATAGCTGGATCTACTGCCTCTAATTTTGCCTCTTACTTTTCTCTCTTCACAGGGTATGTGCTGGGGCTGATCATGATGGTGATAATCATTGCTATTGGAGCCGGCATTGTCCTTGGGTACGTCTATAAGAGGTCAGTGGCTATTCTTCTTTGTCCAAAAGCTGGTGTAGGCACGAAGCAATGTATATAGAGCAAGAATGCCTGAGCACCTGCAGGCCCAACCAGATCCTAATAAAGGCAGGTAGAAGCATGTGTTTTGATGCATCACATTGTGCAAGAGTTTTGCTTGTCGCATCAAGGACAGAACTATTTTAAGAGTTAATCCCATTCTTCTCCAGTGTGGTATTCCGTCACATTTAATAAGTTTCAAACTGCCCTCTTTATTTTTGTTTTGTGTGTGTGCACACGTGCCTTGATATGGCTCTCTTAGATGCATCCGGGGGAGCTGAATTTCACAGAAGAGCTGGAGAGAGCAGATCCCAGCTGCCCTCACAGGAAGTTTCTTTTGTGATCAGGAAGAGAACAGTCCTCCCGGCAGGCCACCTGTCCCCCTGGTTTCTCTAGCCTAGCTAGCTTTAGAAGAAAAACAGTTGACAAATTCTTTGCTACTCGTGCATTCTATCCCATGAAGCTGAATATCAAGTAGCAGTGTTTTGTCAGACTAAGTTCATTTTACCAAAGCCCCTGTATATTTTAAGGTCAATGTTGATTCATGCTTAAGTAATGATTTGTTCGGATACTTCACTATGTTGGGCAAAAATGTCTCTGTAGCTCAGCAGCATTTGAGGTTAGTGGTAATAGCAAGCAGCTGAGTTGTAAGAGACAGGGCAGGATTAACAAATAGCAGTGAATGTCGCTGCAGCAAGTGAAGGCCCAGGCTCCCTCCTCTGGGAGGGTTTGTTCTGTATTTTGGCTGTTTGACAGCAGTCTGACACAACCGAGCAGAAGGAGCCCTTTCCCAAGCTGGGACATGTCCTTATGTAAGTGTTTATAATAAATGTCGACAGAAAAAAAACAGAGGGAGGAGTGTTACATAAGGGGCAAAACACAGAGCGCTGCTTGTCGAGGAATCTGATTTGAGGTGTTGCTTCAGAGAATGCTGTCTCGTGTGCTGGCAGGAACGGCAGCCACTGCTGCACGCCTGTAGGCAGCTTTGAAAAGCAGCCAAAAAGCTTATGTGCTGACAGGAAACCCCAGCAGCTCTGCCTGGTCGGGATCACGAGCCGCAGGAGGAGTGAGTGGTGCCTGTCCCACCTCGCTCCTGTCTTGCAGCGAGAAGCAATAGACCGATGTTGAGCTTTGTCCGAATGCAGCTTTGCTTCTTCCATCCCAGAGAGCTCAGAGCAGGGCTGCAGTGCAGGTTTACTGTCTCTCTCCTCTTGCTTTGCTCTCGAAATTTCATGTGCAAGCTGGCAGGTTTGGGTAGGTGTGGTGAGAAACCTTTAATCGGTTTAGTAGCTTTTGGTAGCTTATCTGGAGACAACACGCTATTAATGCCATCCATTTTTAAAGCAAGGCAGTTCTTTCTCAGTACAAATTACAGAGGTGTTGCCTCCCTTAGCAACAGGCTGAAGAGCGAGGTAGGTTTGAGGAGCTGGTTGTGGTATTAAGTTGTTTGCTGCAGCAACAGAAGGCAGGGCCAGCTCGGAAGTAAGCTTCAATACTTTCAGTAATCACACCACCTGCGCCATTTGTCTCTTATCAGATGAAGCAGGTTTCGGAAGCTCCTCTGCACAGCAGTGGGCTCTGCGCTGTCTCACTGCTCCCCTGCGCCTGCACCAGGCAGTGCTGTGGGACTGTAAGATCTAAGGAAACATTTGTCAGCTCCATGGTTTGAAGGAGAAGCCTGGCTTTACAGTCATCATTGAGCTGCAGCGATGTTGGTGAGGGAGGGACAGACTTCACTTGGCTGTTTGTTTTTCAAAGGTGCTCAGATGGGGTCCTCCGCTTACAGCAGGGAATGTTTTGGGCCCTTCATATGCAGCTGAAAGATCTGTTTCTTAAAGAGCAGAGTCCCTTCTTCTCTATCACCTTTACTGAGACTCTGCCTCGAAGCAGCGGTGCTCACCCCATGCACATATGTGTTTGTTTTTTTTAATCTAGGGGGAAAGATCTGAAGGAGAAGCACGAACAGAAAGTTTATGAGCGTGAAATGCAGCGCATCACACTGCCACTCTCAGCGTTCACCAATCCTGCCTGTGAGCTCGTAGAAGAGAACACGATCGTGGTGCACACTAACCAGACGCCCGTGGAGGACACGTGCGATGGTGGTGGACCGCTGATGGGGCAGGCGGGTACTCCTGGTGCCTGAGCAGCTCGGGCAGGAGCAAAGCCTCCAGCTGGGAGTGCGGGGGTTGCGTGTGTTCATTTCTACTTTGTTTTCTTTTTGATGAAAGCCAGATGAAGGTGATGCAGAGGGACAGAGCGATGGGCTATTCATCATGATCTGTTTGAGGGACACCATTTACTGCATGGCCAGCTGGGGACTGGTGTGGTGGGCCCCGCTGCTTCCTCCCACCTATCTCCATGGTGTGCCAAGGAGCTGGGTGGGATGATGGGCCAGGCTCACAACTGGCCACAGATCCTGTAGCCCGCAGTATGGTCTTGGCTTCCTCTTTTTTTGTTCCTTTCCTATTTAACGGTGTGCACTGTTACTTAAGTTTCAGCCTGGAATCCCAGGAGGGAGCAGTACTGCAGGGACTGAGGGGAGTTTCACGCCAGACTTAGCTAGATAATTACACTCTGATTATAGTTCCTGCCTTTTTGCTTTAGCGGCTGAGAGCTGGATACACTGTCCAGAATCCTGCTACTGGATCAGTTGTTTTTCCAAGGAGGAGTTTATCTGAGGGATGGCTTTGGCCAGGAGCAGTATCTATAGCCCCAGTGTCAATTTGAAAAAGCTCTTCTCAAGCTCTTGACAAATCCAGGTCTTCCAGGGCTGAGGCCACATCTCCATTCCCCTGTGGTGCTACATGCACAGCCACAGTTGTAGGTGTGCAGGTGGTCTGTGCCTCCTGCTCGCTCACGCATATCAGGAGACCAAAGGCCAGCAGTAGATAGTTGTGAAGAAAACAAACTGCCCTTCAGTTACCTACAGCAGGTTGAGCACTGAGGACAGATAACATCCTCTTCCGAATTCCCGTGGCTTTCTAGAGAGCCAGCTCTGGACAGAATGGCCAAGACAGCTGTGGAGGTCACCCCGGCCACGACGCAGCAGCTCTTCTCTAAGGGCAGGACAGGGCAGCTGCTCTTGCAAGATCCCCAAGTTACACATGGCACGGCTCCTGGCCTGGCCTCCTTCACACACACTCAGCTTGTGCAGCAAGACTACTTGCTTACAGAGCCCGGCCCTATTAGGTTTTGTAACAACTTTTATTAGCGTTTCAGGGGGTCTGGAAGGGTTGGTTGCTGCAACGTCTCCTACATGGCACTGAGGCAAGGCCAGTTCAGGGAAACATCCGTCCCCGCCTCCGGGGATTCAAGCCATTCAAGTATGTTTTCTAGCCATCTGCTTTATAGCTGTGGGGCCTAACAGGGAGCAGCACTTGGCAGCAGGGGTTTTAGTGTTAATGTTTGACTCAGAAAAGGGAAAGGTTTTATTTTTAAATGCCTTTGAATACCATTTCTTTGTAAAATGTTTTAAATACCTCATGATGAGAAGGTGCAGATTGTGCTACCTTGTATTAAAGCTTACAAGAAAAATGCTCTGTGTGGACTGTGGCTCATCTGTACGTTCCTCCTGCCAGAGCAGCAGCCTTTTGCTTGTTGCAGACTTCGAGAAGGGAAGATGCTTACTTCAGGTGGCCAGGCCCAAAGGTAAATCCCTACAAGCAGCGCCTCTGCTCGTCAGCACTGACGAGGGGCATGGCGCTCATCTCCTTGCTGCCAGCAGCTGGTCTTGGACTGGGACGCTGTTCCTGAAAAGCAGCGGTGGCTGTGTGAGCTGTGCTGACTAAGCAGGCTGGCCCGTGGGAAGACGCTGTCAGTTACTGCCCCTTCCTGCACTGACGCAGGTCAGTTCTGCTGTGGTGCTGCTCAGCAGCCGCTCCATCCCTCGGGGCCGTGCGTTGGAGAGCACGATGGAGACGGAGCACAGCAGGTCGCAGGACACAGCTAGCATTTTCGTTCAGTTGTTGCCTTAACAAATACCCCATGACCTATGTATTTCAGAGTAGGAGGTTTCCAGGAACAGGCTGTATTTTTATCCTGGTTCAGAAAAGGAGAATGGAGAGAGACTCCACGTTCTGCTGACTCCCGTCCACCCTTTAAAAAATAAACAACAAAACCCCAGCCAACCAAACTTGACAGCTTCTTCCCTTTCCATCACTCCAGGTAAATATTATTACAGAGCACTTGCACTGCACCTCTGTAGTTCTGTAAATGGGTCACAGCCCTTTGGCTCAAGAAAGGGAGTTCTAGATGATACGTGATCTGTGCAGTTTTGATGTTGCCGTTTTGCGACAGTAGAAACCCGAGAAAGTTACAGGCACACGCTTTATGTAACACAGAGACAACAGCATCTTGTTTTCATAGCATACATTTACTGCTTTTTAATTTAGTTAGAATATGGAGCTGTGCAAATCACAGTTCATAAACCCCACCCACACATCACCCAGGACTCCCCCCTTCAGGGGTCCCCTCACAAACCAGCCTGGGAGGGGGAAAGAAAGGGCAAATCCTATTAACGATCCTGAATCCACTGGACCCAGTTTAGAGGGGCTCCTCCACTGACTCACAGCACAGGGAGTCCCCAGTGTTTCTAAAACACCACTACGCAGACTGAAAACATCCCCTCCGTACGCACGCCTTTCATCAGGTGATGGCTGGTCCCATGTCGTTTCACGTAACGCTTTAAACTCATGGGCAAGGGGAGGAGATCAAAGTAACAGCAAAGACTAACACCAATACCCTACCATTCGATACTGAAGGGAGGGGAGAAGAAAGGAGCACACTAAAAATCCAGTTAAACCAAGATGTTTGTGAAACTTAAGAGTGGGACTTTGAGCCAGCTTTTTGTTCAGTTCTGCCAACCGCATGAGCTACTGCAGCAGTAGCTTTCTTCCTTCTCCCACCAAGGGAGGAAGGAGAGAAGTGCTGGAAGAAAATACACCCTCACCCACCCCTCCCAGTGACTCCAAGCACTTTTTTCTCCCCAAAAGCAGGGAATGACCCTGAGGAAAGTTTCTGCTTGGAGAATCAGCTCGGGTGCTGCAGCAGCAGTTGCAAGGAGGGCCTTCAAAGGGAGCAACTTGCACAGCCTGCAGGAAAGGATGAGGTAATGGCAACTGAATTATTAGTTCTGCAGCTGCCACTCCTGGGAGGAGGGGACATTCTCCAGCGCTTTTCTGTCATGACAAGTCCATCCTTGTAAGTAACCTCGGGCATGTATCCCTTTGCCATTGTCCATGTACAAAGTCTGAGCCACTTCAGACATTCGGCTTTCTGAAGAGCACCTTCTGCCACCCTCTCTGTCACCTCATGTCCACAGGCCAAGAGCTGAAGCAGTGTCAGGACTCCAGGGATGTCCATCCACGGCCAGTACCCAGTGCAGTTCTAAACAGTCCGGTTCAAATACTCTCACCTAGGTTGAGGTTCCTGCGTGGTCAAACTTGCTGTGCAGGCTCTGGGTCTGAAGACGCTCAAGTGGCTCATTCGCTGCCTGCCTTGTTCACTATCAGGAGAGGCAAGCAGAGCTCAGTCTTAGTGTTTCTAGACAGGCTTCTGGAGGTATTCAGAGACGGATGAGAAAAAAAACCCCACAAAACCAAACCAAACCAAGAATTCATACATGCCTCCCCGTAGACAAGGTATTTCAGGAGAGCAGCCCAATTCCTGGGGCTTTTCACTCCCTCCCCTGATGCACACCGGAGGCCAAAATCTCAGTGGGTTGTTTTGGGAAACACATGCACAAACATACACACGCGTGCTGTCCTGGCTGCCAGCTGTCCAGTTACCCCAGCTTTCTGAGCAGGGCAGTCAGCGGGAGAAGCAGTTCCAGAAGTGCTGGTCCTTGCCCAGGAGAGTCTCCTGTAGTAATTCCCTCCCCGGCAGACAGGCCAGGGTGGCTTCACAGCTTGCAGCCAAGTTCTAAGGCACCACAGTAAAGAAGCCTGAAAAGGCCAGAGAAACATTTCTCAAGCCAGAAAAATAGTGTTGAGCAGCTTTCCTAGGTGCAGTTGGCAGGAAACAGCCCTTTTTGCTTCTGAAACATGCCAGAAATCCACAGTGAATCAGGATGTCCAAGAGGAGGGGTGTTGGGTGGGGAGAGAGAGGCAATGCAGCAAACGCACAGCGTGGTGCCCCGTTAATGCCCTGGAAGTGGCTGAAGTGCATCTCCCTCCCCGTCACTCAGCTCAACTCCAACCCAAGTGGTGCAGGCAGCAGGACAAGCTGACTAGGTTGTGTTTTCAGGTAGCTTGTCACGGTTCAGTCCGTACTGCACACTCACGTCGTGGTCCAGCTCCTCCAGCTCAGACGGGAGGGGGATGGCAAGTTCTCCCAGGTAGAGAGAGAGTGCTTCAAAGCAGTCTTCCAGCTTGGAAAATGGAGGCCTAGAAGCAGCAGTGAGGAAATGTGAGTGGGAAAGAGGAAGCAGAACAGCATCTGGAAAGGCTGAGCCAGTCATCCATCCAGGCCAGTGTCCCATGCACAGAGGTGTGAGCAGGGACACGATCCCTCCCAGTTCAGCTTCCAAGACTGCAAAGATCCCATCTGTCTGGGCTACCTGTTTCTACAGCCATTGACCAGGGAGCTCCCGCTCTTTTGGAACCCACTCAGTATCAACACTGTTCTGAAACTACCAAGTTTCACAACTGAAATCAAATGAACTATTCGCCTTTCGGAGCTGCTGCCCAGAACTGCCCCTGCTTTTTGTACACGAGAAACTCTGAACGATCACTCCTCCTTTACCCTCAGAAACTGTTTCTGAGATCTCCACCATATACAGCGGTCTCTCTCCCATGTCAATGAGTCTTTAGTCTCTCCTCATGTGGAAGCCTCTGAGCACTCCCACAGAGGGCTGGAATACAGCCCTCCTCCACCCTCTGTGCAGAGCAATCCTTCCACCAAGGGGATACAGATACATCCTCCAGGCTTACAAAGAGGAGTCCTCCAGACCCCAAACCTACCTGCTCTCTGGTTCCAGTCTGCAGCAAATGGCAGCAAGAGGGAAAAAGGCTGGAGGACAGTCAGCAGGAACAAACTTCTCCCAGAACAGCTTGACATTAAGGCCAAAATCCAGTGTGCGTGGGAGACAGTCCGGGTCAGCATAAACCTGGCCGATGATCTAGAGAAAAATGAGAGGAGCACTTAACACTCTGAAGCTGTTGCTGTACTTAACAGGGAACTTCAGCATCGGACAGAGCCTTCCAGTGGGGCTAGCTGCATGCGGCAATGAGCAAGGCACTGCATACAGACAAGCTTCACCTGAAACTTTTTCAAGACCTGGTGATGTGCCTGCTGTTGTGAAGGAAGGCCCAGACGCCTTCTCTTTCTCCTCAGGGTCTCTCTGCTAGAAGATACAGGATGATGTGCACCTCCCAGAGAGCTCAACAGTGCCTCACTGCTGGGTCAGCTACTGTGCTGTATGCTGCTGGGGATGATGCAGCCCTTCCTGATCGCAGGTGATCAACATAACCTGCATCACCATCCCGTCTCTTCCTTCTCACACAATCTTACCACTCCACCAGCAAAGCTCCTCTGTCTATGGAGCCTGTCCTAAACAACGCTGCAAAGGCAACAGCACCACAAATTCTGAGTTGCTCTGTTACTGGAAGCTTCAACCCCAGCCACGGGGTAGGGGTGGAGGGAAGAGCAACCAGCCCAGGAGGTTGCAGGCAAGAGCTGGTGGAGGAAAGGACTGGGTGGAACAGAGAGAAGCCCTGCCCCAGCACTTAGAAGTCCCAGTGCTCACCACCTACCCTGCCAAGGTGCATCCACCACCTCCAGCATGAGGGGTCTTGAAGCGTAATAGGGGAGAAGGAACCCACAGTGAAGAGCTGTGGGGTGATCTGGACTCAGCCAAGGTCAATGTCAATACAAACTCTCGCATGGGGAAAAGTATTCGGTTTAAAGCCTCATCTGGTATCACAAAAAGGGTGTTATTTATAACCACCCAAGGCTTTTCTATGCCAATAACTCAGCAGGACAACTACATCCTGTAACTAGACAGTGGAAAGCCCATTATGTGTTTTGGCAGGGTTATTTCCTTATCTGTTTGAGTGTGCAACTTCTTTTTTTAGCATCTTTATTTTGGCGACAAGGAAAATGTTCATATGCTACTACCCCTTTATTTGTCCTTTTTTTCTAGATGAAACAATTGTTTTAATCCTGCATACAGATTTTTCACGTTCCTAAATCTATCACTCACAACCACAACATTCTCTGAGAGGAGGGCCCAGTGTAAACAGAGCTCCAGATGAGGCCACAAAGATTTATGCACAGATATTTTCTTTGTCCCCATCATCCAAGCACTAAAGATGAAACTGTGCTGGTCTCCCCTGGTGTTCCTGTAACTGCTGTGTTATCCGTACACATACCAAGCCACCTTTCATCTGTATTTCCTCTGTCTTGCACACCTTTTAAACTGAAAATACCTTGCAGCTTTTGAGCAGTGCTCTTTGCTCTGCAGACAGAAAAGCCTGATATAGCAGTAAGACTGTGCATTGGCTCAGAGATAAACTAAGTGAATGGACTTCAGAACTTGACAGACACTTTTACAGCTTCTCTCAGTCCATGAGGAACCTCTGTTTCTTCCAGTCCAGGAAGAAACTGTCTCTGGGGGCAAAAAGTTACAAGACGGTTATCTTCCTTGAGGGAACAGGGAAGGGCAAGTTGTACTCCCAGCCTGATTGACTGTGCTGTCAGGTCACAGACTGCACACTCAGACACAGGGAACTGGCTGATACTGTGTGCGCAGGGAGATGTCAATGGGGAAGGTGAAATCCGTTAAAGATGCCATGGTATGTCCTGGTCTTACCTCACAGAGAACAATCCCAAATGAAAAGATGTCCACTGTCTCATCGTAGCTCTGTCCTGCAGGAAACATAGGACATTCAGCTCTGTGAGAGACAGTTCCCCATCCAGCTACTCCAGGAGCTGCCAGTCCAGAGCTCAACTAAGCCTGTTCCCTGGAGGGCTCTAAAACAGGAGACAAAGCAAGGCTTAAATCTGAGCAGGGTCAGTTGCTCCAAGATATGCACACCAACTGCGTCTTCCTATGAATGGCCATGACGTATTTTAACCCCGCTTCTTTCTTCTACTGTAGAATTACAGGACAACACAGGGAAGCCTTGTGTATCCGAGGTCTGAGCAAATGCTAAGGATAACTATGGAAGGCTTCTGCCCGTTTCCACTGATCGCTGTTCTAGTGCATCTCTACAGTGCACGGAGTCAGCGTTCAGCCTCCCCAGCAGCCAGCGAGTGCCCAGTCCCTGCTGCAGTGACTGCAGAGATAATAAATTACACGCCAGCAGCACTTTGAATCTGGGAAAGCAGACTGGCTCCAGCATGCCACCCTCTGCTTACAGACAGGCCCCTCCCAAGCCAGTATCTGGTAAACAGCCTGCCTTTGAGAGGTGATGTCAGACTACGCTCTTGCTGTTCTCTTGACAAATGCCAGGTCTGAGAGGAGCTTTGAGAAGCAGCCTCAGACTCCAAGCAGGGCCTGTAGGCCTTGAGAGGAGGAAAACAGAACAGCACACAAGAAAGCAATGTGGAGAAGAGTTGAGCTGGGGGAGAGAAGCCCAGTTCTCCCTTCCCTGGTGCACTACGCTGGACAATGTCGATACCACAGCCAGCCAAACTGCCCAGCCTGGTCAGCCCGACCTGCTCTTTAGGAGGAAGCTGTACTGGTTGTGTATCACCTCACTTCAGCTCCTGCAGGGGCAGTTTTCCCACCAAGGGACATAGTTCATCCTCAGTGCCATCGAGGGCTGCATGCCAAAAAACAGATTTCCCTGCACTTGGACAACTCCCATCCCAATCCTGAGACTTTAGCAAACCTAGCAGCAGATGGCTTCTCCCTGTGTCTACGCCTCATCCTGGAGTTTAATGATTCCCTGTCTCAAGGGGCAGCTCTGAATCATGAGGCTATAACAGAAATTGATCTCGGGTTCAGTCTTATTTCAGGGCTCTTTTATCTTCCCTGTTATCTGGACCTTCACAAGTTCAGGTCTGTTGCCCTCCTGAAGAATCCTGCTCTCAAGCCAGAAACATGACCTCAGCTGGTACAAAGGCTTATCAGGTCAGGTACTGCACGAGAAGTGCAGCTGGGGTACCTGTGTGTATAAATAAGCTTGCGTATTAGCAGGTCTAAAACCATAGGCTCTAATATGTTTGATTGTTACTAGAAGCCAGAAGCTTTCGGTAATCCTGTCATCCCTCTACCTCGTCACAGGCTGTCTCCTCACCCCGCACCCTGGTATCAGTACCTTACCATTGAGCATCTCTGGGGCCATCCAGTATGGGTTGCCAACCACCGTGTAGCGCTTCTTCCTGTCACTGTTGCGTAGGGTTCGTTTCTTGGCAGATGGCTTCTCCAAAGTGGTCTTTTTTCTTTCCTCCACAATCAGCCGAGACAGACCGAAGTCAGCCACCACCACCGTCTTATCCTACACAAGGGATTTAGTACAAGCCACTGATTCCTCTCAGCTCCTCTCAGCAGCACAGAAGCTGCAATTCCTGTTCATTGCCAACGATACTGTTAAGGGCAACTAGCAGGGTTTCCTGCAGCCAGATGAGTGTAGCTGTCTAGACAGGTGTAGGACACCCAATTCAGGATCCCAACTCATCATTTCCTCTCTTCATTGTCCTCTGTTCTTTGTGGTTGCTAACACTAATCCCATCAATTTGGCTACACTTGCCAGGGCAAACCTGCACCTTTCCTTTCAGACTTTCCTATCCTACCTGGCTGGGAATTAATGTAGACTTTCATCCTACATTGTCTGAAGCCTACATGCTAATCTCATATTCCAGCCAAGTGAACAAAGGCAAGGCTTGAGGGAATGAAGCTACATAAAAAACTTGAGAGAGTACACACAGGTGCATACACCCGGGCACTTGTCTGAATCCTGAGTGCCAATAAAGTCATCAAGTGCTTAGAAGAACAGAAGCAGCTGTAGAGAACATCTCATAGTTGAGATAAGGAACAGAGCTGTATCCAGTCTCATAACGTGACTGTTGATAGGAGATGCGACCACAGGAAAGGGGTTAAGAGAACGAAGAAACGGTGAAGCTGGATGAGTCTGGAAAATCCTATGAGAAGATGAAGCAAGCTCCCTTGTTTAAGGCACTAAAAACCTCTCTGAAATCAGTTCCACCCCGACAAAAGAGGGAACATCATGTGGAGAAAGCCAAGGGAGGAAGGTGACAAGGAGGGGAGCAACATGCTGTGGGGAAGAGAGGTGTAGCTCACCAGCTTGATTAGGCAATTGTGTGAATTCAGGTCTCTGTGGATGATGCACATGGAGTGCAAGTAAGCCTGGAACAGAGGGAGAAAACTTGGTGTTAGGGGTTCCCAGGTGAGTACATCCCTTCACATTTACAGACCTCTGCAACCAGCTGCTAGTAGTCAGGCAGCATCCCCCACCCTTCACGGACCGCCCTGCCAAGCAGCTAACGGTGACCCTGGAGGTTTGCTGTGTGACGAAGGGACAGGCCAACTCACCATTCCAGAGGCAATTCCTTTGGCAAAGCTGACCTTCTGCTGCCAGGGAAACGGGTCCTGAAAGACAAGTCCTCAAAGGTCAGGGACTATCTTACAGCCAGCTGTGACAGCGATTCCTCTGCAACAAGGGACACTTGCAGCAGTTGGAGAAAGACGATATGGCCCCAGGAAGAAGGTGCTTCCTGCCTCAGGCCACCCACAGCTAAGAAGCAGCTTTTCTACACAGCTCCACAGGAGCAGACTAACAACAAGCACCGTAAGGCTGGTACAACCAACACCACACTGTCAACGTCATTGAGCAGAGGTCCAGCAGGCTTCCATACTCACCGCATTGCGGAGGAAGTCCTTCAGGGTGCCCCCCTCAATGTACTCAGTGAGGAGATTCAGCTTCTTGTCCTTGTACAGTACGCCGATGAACTTCAGCACGTTGGGGTGATCCAGGCTGCGCATCACTTTCACCTGGGAAGCAGAGACATCCCACCCCAAAGAAGAGAATGGAACAAGTCCCGACAGATCTACTCTGTGCTGACAAGCACTCCAATGCTGGAGGTCCCCTGCAGGGATCACAGAGTACACTCAAACCCCAAACTTATGGCAGTTAATTGGCTGTTGCCTCTTCATGTTCATGCTGTGCAATTCACCTGACCTTAGTCCATAAGGAGAGCACCCTTGAGTTTAGCTAACTTTTAAGAGACAGGAGCTCTCCAGAGCAGCTACCTGGTGTGTACTGCATGTGTCAGCGCCGGAACAGCAGTGTCAAGTGTTTAGGGAGATGCCTTTAAGCTACATCTGACTTTGAAAAACATGGTAGGCAGCCACCAAGAAAATAGTTTAGCTTAAATACAGCAGGAGTCTTAAATACCTTACAGATATTGGCCCTCATAATTTCTATTTATCCACAAGGCTCAAGGGATAAATCCTTTATGTATTGCACAGCTCAAATTGCCTCAGACTCAGGCTGCTTTTTATCACTGAAAAATTAATGAACTGGGAGCTATGTCTATTGCTCAGTGTGAGTGAGTCACACTTCACTGCAGCAAACATTCATGTCAGCTTTTTCCCATGTGATGGCTCCCTCCTCAGCGCCTTGATTCCTGCCGGGTTGCTGGCATCATCGCCCTCTCTCTGGAGAAGAGGGAAGAGAGTTCCACCACACTGCTCACGCTGAAGCTTTTTGAAATCGTGCTCCTACCTCTGTCAAGAAAGTCTTCTGTGTTTCCTCATCACAGCGAATCAGCTCCTTCATCACCATCACCTTTCCTGTTGCTTTGTGAGTCACCTGGTGGAAACAGAAACCACAACTACAGGCAAGGTTCAAGAATACATAGCTCCAATGCTCTTGCAACTCTTCTGAAAGAGAAGGTAACATTCCCTTCCATCCAGAGAGGAATACAGATGGGAGAAAATTCAGAGCCCGGGCATCTGCAAAAAATTGCATAAAATTTCTCCTTTCAGAATTCTTCAAAGACTCTGTACACGAAGCAGAAACTACCTAAAGCTGACAGAGGATCATACCAAGAGATCAACAGCACCCCAAGAATCAGAACTGGTCTCCATTTTAGGCAGCATAGGGCTGAGCACGCATACAGGCTGTCAAAGCCTCTGAAGGCATCGTTCTGTACTTGTGCATGCCTCAAGTTCCCGTACAGAAAGTACTTGCCCAGCGTGATGCTCACATTTTGTACACAGACCCTGACAACGACATTCTGTATCAGCAAAGGAATCAACGTTCACTTGCATCAGATACCAAACCAAACAACCTACAACTACACTACTACATGCTCTGGTTTTATTGGGACTCTGAAGCCTGGTGGTTTCTGACAAGCTTGTCAGACTTACGCATGTGCAAGCGGAACTGGGATGTACAGGCTGATCAGTTAAGGCAGGAAGCAGTGATTTTACCGTGCTCCCTAGGAGCAGGGATGTTGACATGGAAGGCTTTTCCATTTCCTCAGGAGCTGTTTGCCTGTATCCAATTAGTTCCTGGCATTTTCCTGTGTTCTAGAGGTTTCTTTTAACCAGCTCTGCCTTGCTTGCATGGGGTGCATGAGTAAGTAGAAAGGGTCTAAATGCTGATGAGCCAATTCTCCTGGAAATCCTCTCCCCTTCAGTCACTTAACTTGGACAGCGCAGTCTCCCTAAGATCTCCAGCTAACTAAACAACCACCTTCTCCCTAGGAACAGAAGGGAACTATTCTGACCACATACAGTACCTGTTGCATCAAAACCAGTCAATCTGAAGCTCAAGAAAAGTGTCACTTTTTTGCCTCATACCCTTTAACGCAAAAAGCCTTTCAGAAAACCTCCAGAACTGCAACCCAGAACACAAAACCCAGTTACAGCATTTAGGAAGCTTATGAGCTCTTGCAAACACTGTGGCACACCAGTTCTGTTTGGAACCATGGGACATAGCAAGGCTGACGTAGGTGGAATATGAATGCATGGAGTAACACAACAGAAGCAAGAGTACGATGTTCTTCTGCTCCCAGCTGAAATCAAGCATCCATATACAAGTAGCGAGCCAGGGAACACTACACATTTCAGCCAGGGACATGGAAGCCAGGGACATCTAATACCCAAAGATACAGGGAAGTGAAGAGACAAAGACAAGACAAAGCTAAGTGGAATTCTTAAGCTGACATACTAGCAGAACAGAAACGTGTCATCATGAAACTCCAAGAGGGCAATTTTAACTCCCAGAGCATGCACCAGAACAGGATGGCTATGAGGTAATTTGAGCAGAAAAAAATGCCTTTGTGCCGTTAACTGTGGGGACGCAGATGACAAAAGCATGCGACAGAGGAAAGGTTCCGCTTACCTGGACCTGTTATTTCTCTATGAGCAGAGGAGAAGAGAAATATGCTCATTAGTATGGATCAAAAGCATTGGGTTTGTAGTACTGGCTCACCACCTCCCATGGAAGTATGAGATGGATATGGTGGCTGCACACCTGAAGTTTACACAGGTGTAAGGGGAGAAGTCCCATAACACGGTGAATAGCAACCCGAGTACTGAGGAGCTCGCAGCACCTGGCTAAGGCAGAGGCAGCTGCCCCCTGATGCTGTCAGGGATGACAGGACAGGAGCTGCTGAAGCACCCTCCGTCAAGACCAGAGAGATTAAATGCAAGACAACTGCTATTAACAGAGATTTCAGTTGTGAAAGTCATGCAAGACCTGACCACTGTCACCACATGGACAAGCCGTTTAGGCTCTGCTGGGGTTCAGAGATGGTCACTATCTCAGCCTGGCAAACCCCCAAGCAGCCATGCTAAGGGTGGGTGAGGAATGCTGTGCTGGGGAGTGGAATGCACCTCTTCATAAGAAAGATGATCGTAAGAGAAAGTGTAGCTTGTTTCCCATTCTCCCCTCCTCACCCAGGAGGTGGCTGTGACACAAGCACTCTGGAGCTCTAAATCTAACTCAGAAGATGAGTACGTATGCCCAAGGTTAACATTCAACGGGGCCAAAGTCAAAACCGCCTGCAGCCAGAGACACTCATGGTCAGGGAATGAAACAGAGAAATGGATCTCACTGAGCAAACCAGGCAAGTTCCAAGACCAATCACTATCAGCAGGACAAAGGCCACTGAGACAGTGATCAAGGATCCTGAGACAGGCAGACATTTCTGTAATCAAAGTAAATGATGAATGTTTGGAGACCTCCCTCACCTTGATTGCTTGTCCAAAAAATCCTTTTCCTAGTATTTCGCCATGAGTCAGGTCACAGGGCCGGAAGATTTGCTGGGAGCAGCTAGAAGAGGAACGTAGGGATTCAGAACGACTGATGTCACGGCTCAGAAGGAGCGGTTCCTTTGGAGAACTGGGGCCGGGAGACTTTGAAATGCTGTTACTTCGCCTGGAAAGCAAAGGAAACAGGGAGATCAGGGAAGCTGCTAGGAAACATCTGGTCCAACATACCCATCATTAGCTCCTAAGGGACCAGTTTCTAGATGTGCTTCAGTGCTCTCCATATCTCAGAAGCCAGACGCTCCCAGCACTGTGGAAGCTCCTTACAAAGCCAGAGCAATTTCCCAGTCAGAGCTGCCTAACAACAGCGCGTCCCCTGCACTGCCAGTCAGTGGCGGAGCTCTGTGGACAGCAGGAGGAAGCTGTGAAGACACAGCACTTGCTATCTCTAAACAAAGATTAAAATACTGGTAGATGACTAAATGAGCAACTGAGTGCCCCTGTCTAGGAAGACAAGATTTCTCCCAAATCTCAGGTCTCAGCCATATTCCCTTTAAGGACGCATTCTTCCCCAGCCATTTAAGGCTGGCAGATGTCTGACCTTTCCATTTGCTAACTGTACAATTCAGTAGCTTTTCTATGTTAAAAGTAGAGCTCCTTATTTTTATTAAGGAAAGTTTGCCATCCTGAAAGAGAATGGGGAGAGTACATGTCAACAGCAGGATCTACAGGTCTCCACTGCTTTGCCCACGGTTTATACCAAGGCTCGTATCAGAGATGAGTCATGTCTCTGCAGCCGTTTGCAATCACAGCGCCCAGGCAGAGAGCAGCCCAGCCTGGCAGCACGGGGCAAAGCCAAGCCAGGTCAGAGGCAGCGCTTCCAAGTCGTTACCTGAGGGACCGCCGTCGGAGCGTTCCTTCCAGATTCTCCTTGCTGTCCAGTGGAGAGAGGGAGCGTGGGGAAATGGGTGGCTTTATGTGGGTGGGAAGACGGGAGTCCAAACGAAGCCTGTCTAAGCGCTGTGAGACAGGGTCGTGCTCTATCAGCAGCTGAAGCGTCTGGCTTGTCTTGCGAATCAATTCCTCCACCTGAAATCGAACCAAAGGACAGGATGATAGCAGACAGGAGGAACAGAAATGACAGGAGACAGAGGAGACAGAGCAGAATGCCCCTCGGAATCAGAGTAGACTTCAGCGAGATCACTCCATAGCTGTGGTTTAGTTCTGCGTACCACAGCTGTCTACCAGACAAATCAAGCTAGCAACACAGAAGTTGCTTATGCTATCCAAATCCTCTTCTTTCTGGTCAGCTACAAGTGATCTGTACAAGAAAGATGTGGACAGGCTGGAAAGGGTCCAGAGAAGGACCACAAAGATGATCAAAGGACTGGGAAGCCTGCCATATGAGGAAAGGCTGGGAGAAATGGGTTTGTTCAGCTTTGAGAAAAGAAAGCTTAGGGGAGACATTATCACCATGTTCCACTATTTAAAGAGTGGCTACAAAGAAGATGGAGGCTCCCTTTTTACAAGGAGTCACATGGAAAAGATGAGGGGTAATGGCTACCAGTTACTCCTGGGGAGATTCCGACTGGACACAAGAGGACAACTTTTCACAATGAGAACAATCAACCATTGGAATGATCTCCCCAGGGAACACTGGACACTTTTAAGATTCGGCTGGACGAGGTGCTGGGCCATCTTGTCTAGACCGTGCTTTTGCCAAGAAAGGTTGGACCAGATGATCCTTGAGGTCCCTTCCTACCTGTTGGTTCTTTTTTTCCTTTTTCTGAGATGTGTTCAAAAAAATAAGCACGCTTCCACCCCGAACAGTGCAGCAAAAAACAAAATGTGGAGATTTATCTGAGACATGTCTATTGTGCTCCTAATGTTCTCTTCAGCACCAACAGTAAATAAGACCCTTGCGTAGTGAAGGTAATGGTAGCCTCACTACACTCTTACAGCCTCACCTGATAGCTGTATAAAGCATTTACTTGTAAATACAGACATCAAATACTTCTTTTGCAATGGGAAACTCATCCCTAGGATCAGCTGAGACGTTGTCTATTAGCAGTTGCCTCTAAATCGATCAGAAGAGTGGACTTCACTAGCAATACACAGAGTCTTCACACAGCCTCTCTGTCCTCTGAGATATCACAGCCCTACACTTTTCTTATTACCTCTTTTCGTGTTCGAATGCCAAAAAAGCAGAACTGCATCCTAACTGCATTTCCATCTGTTAGATCTTCCTCTTCAGCTGGAAGGGGTAGCAAAGCTTGTCTTTGTGTTTATTCCTACTGTCAGCATGAGTACTACGGGGGTACACACACTGTATGTAGGGTGGGAGAACAGCGCCGAGAAACAGAAAAGCTGCAGGAAGGCAGATGAGAAGGAGGTTTCAGAACAGAACTCTACCCACCTCCTCCACCTGTAACGTACGAATAGGAGCTCCATTAATCTCCAGGATACGATCTGCAGGGTGGATGGCGTTTCGGACATCTGGGCTGATGTGCATCCTGTTAACTCTAAACATGGGAATTACAGTGTGTGTGGGAAGTCAGTTTAGCCAAAATTATAAAAAATATTTGATCTCTGATGCTTCCCTTCATATTGGTATTCTGAAATAAAACAATGCTAATCTACCAACACAGGGAGCTACCATTAGACCAAGTGCTTAGGTCTGAGCTTGTTTGAGGAGAGCTCTTCATTTGCCCAATGGCAAAAATTGTTAGTCCATAAACAATTTGCCAAATGTTTTGTGGTCAGTGAAGGAGACAGCACTGCGAAATAAAGTTATCAATTAAGGTCGCCACAAGAGCGAAATGGAGACCAAACACAAATGGCTGTCAGCCAACATACGTCCCCGTCGTGCCGAGACAGATCCCCTCAGCAGCGAAAGCAGCTGGCCGGACAGCAGCGCTGCAGCATTTTCACCAGGTCCCTCTGCACAGACATGTACCTTGAGCACAACCTTGTCATACTCACTCTTTCACCTGGACACCAGTGGCATAGCTGGAGCAGCCACCTTCAACAGAGACGGAGAACCCCCTCTTGCCATCAGTAGCTGCCGGCATGGAGATGAGGGTCAGTGTATAGGGCAGCTGCTCACGCAGAGATTCAGTGGAGTGTTTTTCTATCATCGGTGTCAGCACAATCTGGTTGTGGCATTTTCCACTAAAAGAAGTGAAGAAAGCCATTACAGCAGTGTCCTACCTCTCCCTGCCAAAATCACACTTCTAAGTTCTTTCATTGACCATAAGCTGTAGTTTTTAGTGCTTACTCCGTTCCTCCCTCCCTCAAAAGGCAGCTTCCTGGCACTCCTTAGCGTAGCATTCGGCTGAACCACGTGGAGCCAGCTAACACGGCTTACATATACAGCAGGGAGCAACTCCGCGGCCAAGCATGCAGCTCCGTCTTACCAGTAGAGAGTGGAATGTTGCACAAGTGCGTAAGTGTCCCCGTCTTCAATGATCACTTTGCAGCTCATACAAGCAAAGCACTCGGGGTGATACTTGTATTCGCCAGCCACCTACAGACAGAAAAGGGAGTAGCTTAGTAGGGCCAAAATCCATCAGCAGATGCAGCTACTGCTTTCCTCTCTAATTAACGTGTTCGTTTAGATCTCAAAGTCAAGTGGAGAGTTCTATGAGCCCGTTCTACCTTTGCTGAACCCCATCCTTGGCACCTTGTTTGCAAAACTCCTCTGAAACAAACGTGTCAACATGCAAAGACAAGCTTGTGTCCCAGGAACCTCTGAGATATTTGGCAGCTGCTCGGATATCAAAAATAGTTGATAGCCTGCTACAGACTAGTAAACAAGATATTAAACCTTCCTGTTGAGTTGCTCTTGGCAAGATAACTAACGTTACGCCTGAATTAATAAAGCTGAAAGGGCTTTTGTTTTTTTTTTTTGGCAGACCAGCAATGCACAAATTCAGACACTTTACCGGCCAGCTGACAGAAAAAAAAAAGCGAGCTGAGACTGAGACAACAAAATACCTTCAAAAAATATTTTTATTCATTGATCTGTTTTTCGATTTTTCCTATGAGAACTTGGACAGTATTTTGCAAAGACTTCTGCAGGCAATAAGAAATAGGCTGCACTTTTCTCAGGACTTCTCTTTGAGGTACCAATCATATCACCGAGTACCATGCTGCTTTTATTTAGGCCCTAGAAAAATAATGGTTATATTTAATTCTTGACAGTTTTAGAGGTTAAATATTTGCAAGGCTGCAGCAAGGAGGGGAACGCTTAGGTAAGCCCCATATCGTGCAGGCAGAGTTCAGCGCTTCAAAGCCATTGGGGCTAACACTACCTCAAGACACCATGAGCCAGAAGACCAGTGTGGCCACAGACCAGGTGGGACTTGCATGGCAACCTTCCCCAAAGCCAGAACCTCCTGCCTATGCTGAGCTGAGAGGTTTGACTCCACAATGCAGTGGAAAATCACCCCATGGAGACTTGGAGGCACTATGCTACAGAAACTGAACAGACGTTCCCTTAATCACCTTTTTATTTCTCATGCCCATGCATTTTAGCACCTTACTTTGTTCATACACTTCAGATCCTCTCAACTCTTTCCTCTAAGGGTCACCCCCGTTCAAAATTAATCTCTGTCTAAAAGATGCACACACAAGCCTCATTTCAAATCTCTGTTTAGAGGTTAGAGTAGCAAAGAGACTATTGCCTTCAGTTTATTCGGTTATCTGAACAGCCAGCGCAACTCCCAGCCCAGTTCGAGGAGCTGGAGGCAGGTGTGTCCTGCCTCCAGGCAGAAGTCCTGTAGAGTCCTTACCATCACAGGTCCAGTCATCAGCAGAGAGCAGCCATGGCAGGATTCCCCAAACTTCCCCCAGTAGTCTTTGTGACAGTACAGCTTGCCATCTTTCTCATAGTACCAGTTAGTGAGGGGATCCTGACATTCAGAGCACCTTGAAGGAAACAAAGGAACAAGGTTCCAGTTGGCAACAAGTCAGAAATCAAAAAGCTTCTCTCCTGCATGGAGCAAACAGACATTCAGCAGCAGCTCACCACCTGCTCTTCTAGCTACGGATGCACTAAACCCCTACGTTTCCCAATGCTTTTTCAACTGAATATTAGCACCAAACCCAAGGTTTGTAAGGAGAGGTGGTATGGACCAATACAAAGGAAAAGACAAGCTTCCAAAGTTTAAAATAAATCCCATCCATTTATTAAAACACATCAGTAGCTTTATAAATTCTGCCTTACAAATTTTGCTCCTCTGCTTCCTCCCTCTTCCTGGACGCAAGCTTCCAGCTGCAGAGTTGCCCAGCACACAGACAGCTCTGCCAGGTTCCTAATTAGTGTTTCTATAGCATCACACCGCCTTGTACCGGAGCCCCTGGCTCCTCAGCCACTTTAAGAAGGACAGAGAGGCAGGATCCACTTCCCTATGCAACACAAAGCCAGTTTGCACCAGCCTTTGTGGAAAGCCTTTCCATTCTTCTCTGAGTAGACCTCTCCCAAAAGGTCAAGTGCAGCACTAACCGTTTGAGGGAGAGTTCTCAAAGCAGTTCATCCTCTGAGCTCCATGTACTTACTGCATCCACCAATTAACTGTGATGAAAGTCCTCCACCTCCCCTCACCAACTGCTCTCCCTTTCCTTCTGCTGATGACAGCGCATGAGAAAAAAAACCCCACAACCATCAACCAACCAAAAAAACCCCAGACAAAACTATTTCTCTAATTTCAGGAAGGGAGTCTCAAAATCCTTCAGACATCCCTGTCAGCTCTCATTTCAACAAGCAACCATTCTTAATCCTCTGCCTCCAATCCTCCCTCCCCAAGAACCAACCAACCAACCCCCTCCGCCCCAATCAAGGAAAAAGATGCAGGAACTCTATTGCAGATACATTTTAGCAAATCACAAGCAGAATCCAGATCTTCAGGCTTCCTGAACACAACATAATCCTGCCTTAGCAGCATGCATTGGCCAAGGGAGTTTAAATCCTTCCGCATGGAAGTGTGACTTAACAGAGAGATAATGCACAGGCAGCAGTTGCACCACTGAAGATTAATCCGTTAGCCCTGGGCAGCACGTTCTCAGACTTTAGAAGGAAAATTGGTCTGGTGTTGGCTGTTCCTGAGAACCCAAGGCAAGTTAGTCACCAATAACTGGTTCAAAGCAGCACCTCAATGATCGATGTTGTCATCAGCAGGATGCCTTCCCAAAGGTGGAAGGCAGGGCTTCTTCTGGCACTGGTGAGGCCGCACCTCGAGTTCTGTCTTCAGTTTTGGGCCCCTCAGTACAAGAAGGACATTGAGTTGCTGGAGCGTGTCCAGAGAAGGGCAACGAGGCTGGTGAGGGGTCTGGAGAACAAGTCTGATGAGGAGTGGCTGAGGGAACTGGGGCTGTTTAGTCTGGAGAAGAGGGGGCTGAGGGGAGACCTTATCGCTCTCTACAACTACCTGAAGGGAGGTTGTAGTGGGGTGGGTGTTGGTCTCTTCTCCCAAGTAACTAGCAATAGCACGAGAGGCGATGGCCTCAGGTTGCATCAGGGGAGGTTTAGATTGGATATTAGGAAAAATTTCTTTACTGAAAGAGTGGTCAGACACTGGACCAGGCTGCCCAGGGAGGTGGTGGCGTCACCATCCCTGGAGGTGTTCAAAAAACATGTGGATATGGCACTTCAGGACATGGTTTAGCAGGCATGGTGGTGATGGGTTGACGGCTGGACTTGATGAGCTTAGAGGTCTTTTCCAACCTTAACAATTCTATGATTCTGCCCCTTACTGCAACAGCTGTCTCAGTCCCTGCACTGGAGCGGTGGGGGTTCAGGTTCCAGGACAGCACACCTCTCAACAGCACCAAACGCACGGAAGTCAGCGAGTTGGCAGTGGAGGTGCACTTTTCACATGCTCCCAGGTCTAAGATGAGAGCTACTGTTGACTCCACCTTTCACAAACGTCATGAAAGCTTATTTGTGCCAAAGCCATTCCTTGTAAACTCCACCAGCTTGTAATGAGCGTGATGATACGCGAAGCTGGTCGTGCTCCAACATGGAGAGAGTTACTTGCTCCATCTCAAGAGCCTGCAAAGCAACAAGGTGAAGCTGCTTGTAAGCAACTGATGGTTTTAGGGGAAAACACACCTCATGAGGTATTTACTGCCATACCCTACCCTCAGGGAAGTTGCTCCTTTTAATGTATTTGGCTTTGGTAGTGTTTGTTCCCGAAGCTGAGGAGCTCCAAATCCTGCCCCCCCTCCTGCCCCTTCCTCAGTGATGGGAAAGAAGTCCACCACGTGCAGCAGGCCCTGCCAATTCTGTCTGAGGCAGGAGGAGAAGCAACTCAGCATTGCTGTACATGGTACATGCATCACTACAGCCCCAGCCCTGAGGCACTGTCATGGTTACACCCTGCTCGTGGTATGCAAGAGACCCAGAGGGCACTGCAACGCGTTTTGCCTTCAACCACTAGACTTTGGCTTTCATTTGCAGTAAATACCCCATGCCAAATGATTAAGTAGGTGAGTGGGAGGGAGAAAAGAGCAAGTGCAGACTAACAGCAAAGATTTCTATCACCTTGTGGCAGGAACGTCTGGCTCAACATGGGCAAGCTCAACATGGGCAAATGGGATCTCTCAGACTTACCCGACTTCTGTGTGCATGCTTGTACCAGTGTGTGCTCCAAGAGTGATTACATCTTCAAACAGGGAGCTGTGACCAGACCTGCACTTGGGATGCAGACAGCAACACAGGAGACTGCTCCACCAGGACTTCAAGACCTAGCTTTCTGTCTAAGTTCTCTCCAAGCAGGTCGGTGATTTATCTACTTGTTTTTAAGCAAAACACCTTCCCTTCCTCACCCCTCTTCAATTTTGCCTTCAACCAGTCCTTTTTCTCCCTAAGAAAATCTAAAATTTCTGCGAAAGCCACACAACCGCAACTCTGTTTAGATAGGCTCCAGAGGATCATGTATGCTCATCTTCCCTTTACCCTTCCTCTACTTCTTCTTCATGGTTTGATTCCAACCTTACAGCACTTCGATTAGTTTGCTTCCATCTGGAAATAAGCACTGGTATCTAATTTGCAACACAACCATAGCAAAATGAAGGTGAGGGGGTGGAGCCGGCAAGCAGTCAGTTCTTTGCTATGCAATTAAACAAATCTGGGCAGGACAAGTTTGCAGCTTAAGGCTCAGAACCCCACCCAGGGCAATGAGGCAACAGGAACAAAGCAACCAGCCCCAGAGAGGCCAGGTGCTGGTGATGGGTCTAACTGGCTACTTCGTTAATCACTGCCAGCAAGAGGCCATGGCCACGGCCCATACTGCCAAGCAACTCCTTCTGTTATTTCCCGTGTGTTCTGTAACGTAGAAAAGGCTTTAGGCCTGTCAGGTATGGAGAACTGGCAAGCAGCACGCAGGTAGTTTCAAGGCCTGTTTCAACGCCTTTGCCCAAATGATAAAAGCACCACATGATTGTTCCACATGACTCTCCTTGCAGAGATATGTCAGAATTTTATCACAGCAGATAGAAGCGTTACCACTCCTTCCCTTCCCTCCTCACTAGAGTGCGTGCCGCTGCAGCGCTGCGTTGCCAGGGCTCGCATCAGCTAAGGCAGGAATACAATTACTTCTACGGGTATTACGCAAACTAATCTTTGCCAGTCACCGCAACCAAGAGAAAGGAAGATTTCTTGCCCCTCTGTCATTTATAGATTAGAAAGTGCTAATCTTCTCCTAGATGATTTGCTATTCTTTTTACAGAGTAGCAAAGCACGATAATCAAGTTTCTTGGAGGACTGGTAACAGCCATACTTGACATGTTTCCTCTTGCTGCCCAGCCACAATTTTCAGAGCTGCAGAACCCTGCTCTGATTATACAGTCCCATACGTTACCATTCTTCACTTCCCAGCCTTGGCTATAAAGAATGAATTAATCTGCCTCCTATAGCCATGCTCGAGGAACCCCAGGCAGCATCTGGGTGCAGTGTTCAGCCCTGATGTTCTGCAGCACAGCAGGAGCAGGAAGAGTTCACAAATCGCTGCTTGAAGGCTACTTGGTTTTGTGGGGGGTGGTAGGAGGATCAGGTCACAACAGGTAACCAGCCTGGTTTTCAGCGAGATGGAGATTCAATTGATGTGGCATCTCTTTTACAGCTCAATGAAAGCCAATACCCTCATGGAAGCAAAGACTTCCCTGGCACGGAAGAGACAGATCCCTTTGAGAAGGGCTCATTAATAAAATGCACCCCCCCACACACACACTGTCAGGCTAGATCAGTTAACGCTGGACAGGTTCGAAAGAGCTGCAGTTCCAATTCTGCAGGCAGAGGACAGTCACGCAGACAGAAGGCTGCAGAATAAAACATAACCCCAGCCCGCAGCTAACCCAAAGGCTTCTCACCCGGACTTAGAAGTGCGTGCACTGGCTACGTAAGAGATACCAGGCAAGGAAGAACAGATACGAGAAAACAGACCAAGTATGAGAAGACAGAGTGTTTAAGCTCTGACTATGCAAAACCATTTCCGTGTACTTAGGGGAAGGTGTCTCCATGCATTAGCATGATGCCCTACACGTATTACAAACAATGAATGGCTGCTCACTTTCCTCCTTCTGAGAGTGGATGCTGTTTCAGAAAGTTGCCTGAAAAAGCTTAGCAATTGTATTTAGTGTATTTACTGCTATCATAGACTGTTTGAACAAAAGGCTCCTTACTCCCAAATCAGTACAACAGTGTTTGCAGGGACAGGATCAATACTGAGCAAATCAGAGTGGAGAGGATAGGAGGGAGACAATGAAACTGCAAGCCTTGCCTTTCCCCATCTATTCGCCGTATCAGCACATCAGCGACAGTCTCCATCCCGGCTGCGTTCAGCCCCACTAACAGTTTTCGTTACGGAGACGCAATGCAATCAAAGCCTGATTTTTGTAGCTATTGCCTTTCTCAAGCCTCATTTGTTCAACTGGGCCAAGAACGGCTGTTAATAGAAACAAAAATATCACAGGAGAAGAATCCTTTCTATGTAAGGGAAGTGTGCTGCTCGTCCCTAGTTACCTGCAAGGTACTTGATTTCTTTTCTCAAACAAGATTATGCACGGCCTCCCTGCAGATTACATCACCTTCCTGAACTCGCAACAGCAGCACCTTGCCTCACCCTGCACTATGCCCAAGCACAAGTAGCTCTGGAAGAGACACCAGCAGCGGCAGCTTCAGTAATCTCATTGCTCTGGCCGTGGAGCAAAGCACAGGGGCATGGGGTAAGGCGGCAAGCGTAGCGCTGCTCTGAAAGCGAGCCTGCTTGCCTGGGCTACGCAGAGACTGTCTCACGACACAGGTGCTGTCCCCTCGTACCGGAGAGCTGCGAAGAGGCTGGTGATGAGAATCCTCCCTGTCCCCTGCTCAGAGCAAGGCAGGATCCCAGTCTGCAGCCGGCTGTTCCCTGCACACAAGCACTGCACCTCGTTCTTCACGCCTCGCACTCTAACTGCTTAGGACAGCATTACAGTGGGGGGAAACAACACTTTGAAGGTCCACTGCTAATCCTGCGCAAGACTTACCGAACGGGATCCTTGGGAGCGAAGTAAGCTGGGGCAGACAAGTAACTTCCCATCTTCAACACTGGATAAACCGGCTCAGCCACAAACTCGTCCAACTGCCTCTGAACAGCTCTGTTCTGCCAACATGGCAGCAGGCAGCACTCATTTAATCTTGCGCTGATTCAGATACTTCACCTCTCTTTGAAGCTGCCCGAGGAATGCCAGGTCTCTTGGCTGCTCATTCCTTTCCAGATTTTTCCTGGCTCCTGTGGCTATAACCATCTTCTCCCGCACTCAGCAGCAGCGGCACCCTTGGGAAGGATAGAATAGCTGCTAACCGGGCTAGCTGGACATGCTTCTGCAGTAGTTCTTGCGAGCTCTGCTGCCTGCTAACTATTGTCAAGTTTTCCCTTCTCTGGTTCCACCCAAGGGTGGGAGGGGAGGAGGAGCCATTGCAGGAGGACAGCGCGTGGCTACGGCGGCTGAATAAGCTCTACTTCTTCACGAGGGTGGAGCTTTGATCCAAAGAGAGTTAATAAGTGCTGAAAGAGAGCAGCTTCTGCCAAAGTAAGACCTAAGTGCATAAACATGAAACTACTCTCTGCAGCAGCAGCGGTACATTCTGACGGAGGAGTCAAGGCAGGCAGAGTCTGACGAAGACAGCCAGCCACGTCTCCAAACACACCACATGGACGTTTATGACATACCTTCCGAAATCCCTCACAGCGAGCGGGGTTATAAGGCCTTCACAGCACCCACAATCGCTCCGTCCTGGTGCAGGAGGTAACTCACAGTGCGCTTCAACGAAAAACAGCTTGCTTTCCAAGGCTGTTCTAACAGAGATCATTGCAATCATTTAACCTAATCTTAATGGAAGCTGAGAGGTATAAATCAGCACAGACCCTCTCCTGCTTGCAGCACATGTAGTCGTATCATTTTGCTTGCTCTGAAGCCAAGCAGGATCTCTAGTGGCCTAATCAGCTAAAGCTGTCTGCAAGACAGAAATGCAACAAACATATGCTGCTGCACTGAGCCCTCCCATTTCTGTACAGTCAGCAAAGCCTGGCATGCCTGAACACAGCCTGAAACTCGTGCTGTGTTCCAGACGCAAGAGTACTCCAGTGTGCTTTCACTGGAGATGCTCCTCTCAGCTGGCATATTGTTAAGGGACGCTTGGGGCTGCGACCAGGCAGTCTTGGCTGCAGATTTGACAGCTGCTGCTCGCTGTTGAAGCAAGCAGAAAGTCCGGAGGCCTTTTGGGTTGTTATTTCTTGATTTGTTTTTTTTTTTCTTTTACTTTTAATAAGCAGCCACTTTTCTGGGGGGAGGTAAAAAACCCCCCAATTTTTACCCATTCAGTGCAGTTTCTAAGCCTGGCTGTAAAAGTGCAGCGAAGCCCAGTGCTGCAGAGCCTGATGTGGTCGTCAGCTCCAGCATGGGTCTAATTCCTTCTGACATTTCACACAGCTCTACTGGAAGCAGCAACACGGTGAGTCTGTGTCTAGGAATGCGCTCTGGTCTCCCACATTCTCTATATGTTGCGTGCTGAAAACGGGCCAGCGCTCCCGATCCGACGCCTGCCCGCGACACACACAGAACTCCCGTGCATCACAGAGCCCTCCCCTACCCAGTATCACCTACAGACAAAAGCTTTTCCCCACAACCCTGCTGCCATGGGCTGAACCCCCTCCAAGGGGGATTCCACGTGACCTCATAAATCCCAACTCTTCAGACAAAACCTTTGAAGATTTGATCCACAGATGCGATAAGCAGCCAGCTAGTCTGTGAATGAAGCCAGCAGATAAAGCCTAACTTCAAAGTAATAAAACCCACCCAGACAGCTAAGCAACTGGGAAGGGATTTTGTTTGAGACTTCCTTAAAGCCAAAGGACACACAGTCAAATGTCTATTTAAACAGGAAACATCTTATCAAAATTATTTTACTTCTCCAGCAAGCAAGTTAGTTTTTCCTGCATAGAATTCTCTTGTTACTTCTTGCCTTTTTTATTGTCTGTGTGACCTGTTTGAGAATGCAATAGCTCTGATAAAAGGGCTCTGGAAAAGGTGTTAATAGGTTCTAGAATCTGAATGCCTGCCAGAACGACTGTACTTCAAAAATGCTGATAAACAGGTGGGGGGGGACGGACACATCTTTTCTATGTAATTTTACTGATACCGTCTCCGAGGGCCAAAATGCACCAAAGCAAATTTCTTTTTCAGCAGCTGAAGTCAGGTATCAGCATTTTCTCTCTTCCAAATGCTGACAGCACTTCTACTACAAACAGGTAGCCATCACAGGGGGTTGCTTTCCTTACTATGGTTTAGAATGGTACAGTCATTTTTGCCAGAGAGAGAAGCCTGAAAAGTATAACTAGCAAATGAACAAATGAAAAACCTCGACAATGACTTAACGTGAAATTTATTGCAATTTGAGTCACAGCCTTACAGTTTTATCCCCGCAGAAGTGCATCACATAGTGATATTCAAGGGATTAATCTCTTAAACAGCTGGCGTTCAGCTGCTCTTCTAGACACCCTCTTTAACACCCAGTTCACTGTCCAACAGCACCTCTGCAAACAGATGCATTGCTCAGCGCATCTACCAGCCCTGAGACACACAAATTTATCCGGGCACAGACAGGCACTTTGGTACGTGTGGGGCTGGTATAAGCTGAGGAAGAGGCATCTGCTTGATGCCTGAAGAGTCTGCAGCAAGTCTTTGTTTCGGCATGGGCGCAGTTTGGAGGCATTCCAAATACCTCAGTGCAATCCCAACACCTCATTGTATTTCCAAGGCACTTACACATAACGTGCTTTGCTGCTGTTGAAAGACAGAGCCAGCTCCTGACATCAGCTACTGAAACCAAGACCGTTTCAATGTGCACATACCTCTGAGCGAAAGCTCTTGCACATAGCTCTTGAGTAAATTAAAACAAACAGTGAAGCGAAGCTCATCTCCATCGCTGCATCTTACTTCTAAGCAGCTGCAGAACTTCAGACCAACACAGTGATGCGTTCTCGGTACGTAACGTCACTAAGCACAATGTTAGGATGGAGACAGAGTTCTTACCTCCACCATACTTGGCTAATGGCTGCAGACCTCCTGAACACATGTAGGCCGAGGAGCAAACCAAAGAAATTCAACCTATTGAAACTTCATAGACGATGTATGGTTACAGAAGCAGTGACTTCAGATCTGCAGCACATGCAGCAGTTAAGAACGGCACTTACACCTCTGCATCTTCACTCACTTCCTAACTCGCTGCTTTTGTCTGTGCAGACTGCTAAACTCCCCAGTGAAGGATCCTCTCTCACCCATGTGGAAAGCCTACTACACGCTGGGCTGTGTGAGTAATTCTAATTACCTGGATATAATAATGCTTTGATAGCAATGCCCTAAAGGACCAGCTGTGCAAGTCAACTAAAAAAAGTTCAGACTGGAACGCCCAGCTCCTGGAATGCCCAACTCCTCCTTAAATACACAGGGTCCTCCTCGCAGTCCCGTAGCTGACAGACTCCCCTGAGGAATGTGGCCGTGCTTCATTGTTCCTTGGATTTTTAAACTCCTGAACAGTCACGGTGATCTGTGTACCAACGGGCACTTAACAACGATTTCTCCCTAAATCTGATAGTGTGCTGGTGAATTTCAGTGCTGATGGAGACACCAAAGAGACATTCCCAGGAGTCCGCAGGGTTAGTGCAGAAGAGCACTCACCTCTGAGGCCCTATCGTTAGCTCTCCAACTGCCAGAAACTGGTGAAGACTGGGAAGAAGAGAAGATTCGCGTCTTCCTGCTTCTACCGTAACTCAGCTGCCTTTTGTTACTACTGACCCTTCCCCTGCTTTAAAATTCAGCTGCCGTGTGTGCAAACCTGACTGTGTTCACAGCTAAAACTAAAGGAAGATTCAAAGCATCCAACCTCCCCACGTTTCAAATTCATCTTCATACAAACCTTTGCTTAGATCTTTATTTGCCAACATTTGTACATTTGAGCTTCATATCCTGCCACTGCAGGTCTGTTTGTCCTGTTGTCTGTGGGGAGGAAGCAGCTTTTGGAAAATGAAGGCCCGTGCCAAATGGTTTGAACCAACAGAAGTGATCCAAAGTCTAGAAAACAGTCACTGAGAAGCAGCTAGGTCCGGGGTTTCTTCAGCCTAGGAGAGACTGGTGGGAGGCATGACTGCTGCTTTCAAACGGAAAAAGGTTACTTTAATAACAGAGGGGGGGAAAAAAGCCAGTTTTCCACACCCCTTGTGAATGTGACTAGAATAAATTGATTTAAACTGCAACACGGGGAATTTCTGAAGATAGGAGACAAACTTCTAACATTAAGGATAATTCAGTGCTGGTAGACATAGTCTGGGAGACCGAAAGCCCGCAGCGATGGGAGATTTTTAGGTGACCAGTTTCTTGATCATTACAAAGCCACAGAAATTACTTGCCTCAAACACAAATGGAAGTTTAGGAGACAGCCTAAGAACCACAGCAAACAGAGTTGGAAAACTTCCTCAGAAGTCATCCAGGTCATCCTGCAACCCCCAAAACCAGGTTTAACTAACTATATACATTCTATTATAATACAAGATCACCTAGCTTGCCTTCCCCTGCCCCCAAATGTAGAAAGAATCAAGGTGATTCACCAAGTTTTGCTGAGCAAAAAATATTTCTATAGCACACAGAATATGTCATTCAGTATAGAAAACTCATGTCTTTGTAACAAAATCAAATCACTAGTGGTGATTACTGGTGGTTCTCGTTCTGCTCAGTAGTCTGGAGCTCAGGACATCCCCTGGGCACACGGACAGCTCAGCCGGCTGTTCTCCAACCATGGACGACTGTCACGCTGCAGAGAGCGCACAACGGGCGGGCGATGAGGGACTCTGGGAAGAATCTACTTTTAACCTCATTCCACTACTGAGAACCAGGCAGAAGGAGAATTTGTTTCAAATTCACTTCAGAATACCAGCAGGAGACGGAGCCAGGAGTTCTTCTGCCAAAACTGTTCCGTTTTTTCGAAGTACTCATTAAGAGAAAACAGCCTTCTGGTGGTTACAACACTCCTTATTTTTCAGTT